TATGACCAAATCAAAATGAGCTATATAGGATATTTTTCTTCACAGTTTATCTCACCATTTATTTATCCCCTAATGTCTCTAATAAAGCTTTAGAAATTTTCCTATCAGAAGTACTAGCCCATTTTGTCTCCCTGGACCTATTAAGATTTAAAAAGCACTGCTCAGTTTCTCAGCTGCCTCTTCCAAATCAACCAATATGCCTTTGGCAAATGCCAGATTCACATCTTTGGATTTCTATTTTCTTATAAATTTTGGCCCAGTAATTCCACACTCTCTTTTAAGCTTTATGATACCTTAAAGTATGTAGGATATTAATCATAGTTTACTACAAGATTTTTCTCCTAGCTGGGCAATAATATTAACAACAAAGTGGAATGAGAAATACAAATGGGCCACATATGTCAAAATGTTAAACTTATGTGAGAACCAGCTAACTGAGAGATGCTTGCAAGAGATGCTTGTGAAAAAGAAAGAAACCCCCAAACATCTAAGAAACGTTAACAGAAGGCAGAAATGACTCACTTCAGCTGCCACCTTAAAAAGACAAAACCAGGATTCATTGAAAGGCAACAAAGAACAGCTGCATATTAGTGAAAAGGGTAAGAAAATAAGCTTAGGCATTAATTTATGTCACCACCCTCAGGTATTAATCTAGTGTCTTATTTTGAAGAAATAATTTAACAGAAATGCAAAGTAGAAATGCAATGAAATATCACTAAACACCAATCCAAATGGATAAAATAAAATAAAAATAGTGAGAACACTAAATGCTATCAAGGCAGCAGAAAACTGATATTACTCATATATTGCTGATGGAAATATAAAATGGTATAGGAAATCAGTTTGGCAATTTCTTAAAAACGTAACTTGCCATTGCCATATGACTCAACACACATGACCATTTATTCCAGAGAAATGAATATTTATATTCGCACAAAACCTACATATGAATGTTCATAGCTGCTTTATTTGAAATAGACAAAAACTGTCATCAGCCTAGATGTCTTTAACTCTGATAATGGTTCCACAATCTCTGGTACACACATACCGTGGAATACTACTCAACAATAAAAATGAATGAAACATTGATACACACAACAACTTGGATGAAACTCATGGGAATTATGCTGAGTGAAGAAAGCTAATCCTAAAAGGTTATACCTTGTATGTATTCACTTATGTAACATATTTTAAGTGTAAAAGTTTTAGAAATGAAAGTGAGATTACTGGTTGCCTTGGGTGAGAGACAGGCTCTATAAGACAATAATGAGTTGAATTGGGAATACAGCATTGCAATGGGAATATGAATGCCATGGTAAACTATGTGCATATTCAGGGAGGTAAAGGAAGACAAAGGATTTAATAATTGTTTGGGGATAATAATCCTTGGATACAAGAACCAATAGCAAGGATAATGCCAGTTTGAGGTGGGACCTGCAGTTGCAGTCTTCACAGCAATACTTTTTGTGTAAGATTGTGATC